GAGTCCATTTATTTCTTTAATGAAATTATAACGAATGCTGGTATATGACATATTCTTCCAAAAGATCAAATGAAGGTTAGTAAATCGTTTTAGTACAGAAAGATTTCATTTTTTTGTGACTTTATGGTTCCCTAACTGGGTCATTGCTTGATTTTTCAGTTGAATAAGCAAATAATATCACATTTTCCTGTAAAAGATAATAATAATTTTTTTTCAGCACGAGTTCCCATCAATCTATATCTCTTTTTGTAACGGAAGAAATATAGGTAACTACTGTAGTATTTGAAACTGTACAAAAGAAATCTAGACTACAGTAAAACTCGTTTAGTACGAACACTGATATAGCGAATTCACGGATATATATATATATATATTTCAATTCACAATAAAACTCTAGTTATCGAAGGTATGTTTTGTAATATTTGCTTCCTAACATATTTGGTAGTAATACTTGAAGGAAAAATGCATATTGCCAATTCGCTTTATATGGTTTTACGAATTCGTTATTCGGTTATAACGAATTACGGATATAGCGAATTAAATTAAATTCGCAGGTCCTTAGGACTTCGCTATAACCGAGTTTGACTGTATCTGTATAAACAACTGATGAAATTTCAAGAAAAAAAAACCCTCTTCGTATATCTGATCTTTGTCATTAAACATTTTTATTTGATTTTAAAAAGGACATTTCAGATTGGAATTATTTCAAATTTTTTTGTCCATGAACTGTTCAAAACACAATGAATCCATATCTTTTGTCAGGGAATAGTGTTTGCTGTCTTTTGTCAGGGAATAGTGTTTGCTGTCAGATCTGTGAAGGATATGGAGAAAACGAACAGTATTCAATTTCAAAGTCCATAAAACAATACAAATTAGGAACAGAGCAAACACGGACAACTAAAACATCAGAGGTGGGATCAGGTGCCATCTGGTATTTTAAAATTGTATGATTTGTCTAAAATTCTCTTTTAAATATGAATATAAATCTTACTCACCGTTTTTAAGCTTCAAAAATAATTAAATAATTAGATTCAATTGTATTATTAACAAAATACATACTGAATAATTTTTGAAGGGGAAAATATTTTATTGGAAAAAAGATCTTGTCAGCATTTTAGTTAAAAAATATTTCAAGAAGCTATTCATTCATAATAGTATAGCTTTATTAAACAGTAACAATGAAAGTGATTAAGATACAAAAGCATAATATATTTTTAACGTACGTTGATGATATGTTTTAATGATCAAAGGTCAGAAATGATTTTTTGCATAAAATGATACAAACATGCACTTTAAATGAAATTCATAGTATCTAAAACTTTATACAAAAATATTCAAATGTTGACCCTTTTTGATATTTTTGTTTACAGAAATGCTTAAATGATTATTCAAGAACTCATTTGTTTTGCACAGCAAAACATTCAAATGAAGCATTTATAAGAAAAGAACAATGTTTTAGCTGATTATTATACACTGCCAATCAAAACTTATTAAGTCAGTAATACACCAGTAAAAACGTTGAAATAAGAGTTGTCATTCAATTTTTGTTGATTTTTCCTTCCCCAAACCCTCACGTGGTCATTTTTCCTCAAACTCAAAACAAGTGTTTGAGAACTCTGGGGATGTGTTCCTGAATTAGAAAGTAATGTTGACATAACTTGTCCATTTTTTATTATTTGGACATACGCATGATTATAAGATACACTCATTGCAGTACACGAAATGAGGTAGACACCATCCATTGGGACAGTGAAGTGTCCAGTCCAGGGATGATAAGCTCTTCCTATGTTGGACAGGACTCTATCATATTTAACAGCTTGATGGTAGGCGAGGTGAGTATCCCTTGTCAGCGTTGCTGAAAATCCAACTTTTGGGTTTGCTGCAATAAATTATAGAATTTAATGAATGAAATCTTTATTTTTAGCTCTACTGGTCGGGGACAAGAAGAGCTTATGCGATAGCAATGCGTCAGTCGTCCGTCCGTCTGTCTGTCTGTAAACAATTTTTCAAAATGCTACTCCTCCTACAGTTTTTGTCTGATTTCAATATACTTGGCACACAAGAAGACTATACTAAGATACACAATTCTGTGCATCGGTTTTTGATTTCTATGACCGGTGTTGCCATGGTTCCTAAGAATAGAAATTTCTGTGAAATGCTTTCAAAATGCTACTCCTCCTACAGTTTTGGTCTGAATTCAATATAATTTGGCACACAAGTATAGTATGCTAAGATGAATAATTTTGTGCATCGGTTTCTGATTTCGATGAGAGGTGCTGCCGTGGTTACAAAAATAGAAAATTCTCAAAATGCTACTCCTCCTACAGTTTTGGTCTGATTTTAATACAACTTGGCACAAGTATACTATACTAAAATACATAATTATGTGCATCGGGTTTTGATTTCGATGAACGATGTAGCTGTGTTTACTAAAAATAGAAATTTCTTTGAAATGCTTTCAAAATGCTACTCCTTCTGTTTTAAGATTACGATTATGATCACAATTAAATACTAGTACTTGCATTCCGAACTTCTAATATAACAAACATGGCATATACGTGTAATTACAAGGACACATCAAAAATGTCCAGGAATATAAAATGATTGACACTGAGTCTTCTAAAAGCGTAATTAATAATTATTTGGTAACTGTTGCACTCTAAAATAAATTATAATTTTCGGAATATAATGAACATTTATTTAAAGATATAACTTACCATTTGCAGACATACATGTACCACAAAGAAAAATGACATAGCTCAGCTGCCTCAAAGAATTCATTATTCAATGATTTCAGTCGGTAATTTATTCATTCAATGCAAGTTTCTCATGGCAAAGGTTTTGACTCTGGAGAATTTATATGCATGAGTATTTTCAGAACAAGCTGTGCACTTGTATTAAACCGCACGGTATATATATTCCACAATTAAGTGTTAGAAAACACACGCTATTTTGTAATGTTCATGTTATAAACACATATTGCGCGAAACAATCCAAATTGCTTGTTATGAATTATAAATGTCAACTTCCTTTAAGCATTTATACTTCGACATATTATATCAATAGATGTGTGTCTTTTTATTTTTTTTTTGGGGGGGGGGGGGCAAAACCCAAGTTTTTTTCGAATTCGAATTCAGTTGTCAGTCAAAGTCATATTGAATAAAATGTGGAATGCAAATTAAAAAAAAATCAAATCAAATCGTAAAGTCTTACTAACAGGGTCGTTTAAACGTACAACTTCGATAATCAAGAAAAACCTTTGAGAAGGATAATTTTTTCTGAAGGCAGTCTTCTGACCGAAAAGTCACAGGGATCAAACAACATTGCAAAAAGTCGGTAATTCTTGAATTTGATTTTCGTTACATGTAATACATGTATTTCATATCATGTACATGTTTGACCTTTAACAACAAATAGGAAGGTTGTCCACAAAGTCCCTGGATTTATGTTATAATATCTTTTTTATTTGACGTCATATGTTATCCGACTTTGGTGGAAATATTTTATCAATAAATCCAAATGAATTGTATTAATTTTTTTAAATATCACGATTTTTTCAAAACCTATCCAGATTTTTGCAAAAATTGGATCGCGGAGCAGGTGAAAATTTAGTAAGTTACAAACAATACATAAATAATGTCTGTAGTCATATTCTCTGTAAGTTAGAGCATCAACGAGAAACAACCAAGAAATTCAAATTATGAATTCTTACATCAATTTCTAATCCAAATTATGGCTTAATATTTTGATTCGTTGTAACAGGTCCCTGGTTGTAAAGAAATCAACTGAAGAAGATATGTAGTCCTCATTGAAAAGAACAAAAACCATGACGTTTTAGAACGTCACGAAGCAGCAGATAACGATGCAATTACTTGTTTTACTCAAGAAGAACTCTGAATAAACTCTAAAAGTTTTGGAGGAATCAAGAAAATATGTCACAAGCGAGTTGTGCATTTGTGTACAAATAGTACATGCAGTATTGCAGTGACAGAGACTCTGTGTCGGATGAGGACAATCCGTAAAGAAACTGTTTACCTGTAAAAATCTGAACAAAAACTTGGAAAAGTTGGAACGTCAATTAAGAAAGACATAGGCACCCCAGAGTTGCTTATCCTGTGAGAGCAATGTTAAGTTTTAAAAGAAATTAAAATCTTATCAATTGAAATTATACATCGAGAGCAATACTTAAAAAATGGCAGGTATTAGAAAAAGGATTTAATGAGAGGACATTGGATTGTACTGAAATATAAAGGAACAATATTTTTAAAGAAACTCTTGACACTGTATATGTTTTTGACGTTACATGACCTCTGTGTGACCCGCAGGTACAAATAAAAATGTTGATTTTAAAATGAACTAAATCGATTTCTATTGAATTGAATGAAATGAAACTTCACACATAAACAAAACAAATATTTTTACATATCATATTGTGCTTAATCTTATATCTCTAGTAAGTTATATTAGGAAGATTGACATCGTCTACGAACATTTCGAACAATCCTCGTTTAATAAGTGTCACTATTTCTATGCGAGCCACGGTCCGTTTTTACAACAGAGCTTACGAGTGAGACCAACAATTTTTTTTTTAAAAATTTTATCAAAATTTATGATATTGTATGAAAGTCTTAACATGAAAAAATAGTTTTATTTTCTTTAAAGGTAATTTAAAAAGAAATCTACCACCCCCCCCCCCAAAAAAAAATTAACTAAATAAAATGTAAAATAGAAAAAAAAGTAGGTTCTTTCGTATGAATATTTCACAAGTCAAAATTATAAAATTACTGTTCAGAACGTGTGGGTTTGGACGCTGTTAGGAAGAAAATTAATGTAGCAAATTCCTGATTCTGGTTCTTCTCATGACATTATTTCTTTAACTAGTTTATGTAAATTATATTCTTTATTAATACATTGATGATATCAAATCTTTAAAATAATTGCAACTAATATTTCATAATTATAAAATATTTTAAAGTTCATTTAGATATTCTGTACAATAGAAATGTTAAAATAAACAATGTAATGACGAGTGGTTAAAAATTCTGCATGAAAAGTTCTCTTTTTGAAATACATGTATATAATGGAATATTACAAGAATCAATGAAAATCAGATTTTTTTTTCCTTTATATAGTTCACGTGAAAGGCATTAACAATGAAAGAAAAAAAAGAAAATGAGAACACTAGACACTGTATGGCGGTGGGTCGTCTGTATTGTTCTCGTCTTTTTCTGTCTCGGGTAACCTGACTGTTATTCCTTCTGCCCCCACTCTTTGTGTTTCAACTGTACCCGTTCTTTGCGTCTGGTGTTGTTGATTGGTCGGGGGAGATACAGGGTTATTTACCGTATTCTGAGATGTTGCTGGCTGCCGGTTTGTTACGGGTAATGCTGGGTTGGTAATAGTACCCTGTGGAGCTGCTGTTGGGATGAGTCCCGCTTGTGGAGCAAATAAAACTTGCTGTCCTATATTTTTTTTTAAAAAAAAAAGGTAACTTCTTTTACGACAAGTGAAGCATAGCCTGAAGGGTCGCCTGAGTATATTTAACACTGTAAAGGATCTAAAGAAGTTTTTTAACTAAAATATTTAGTTATGGTGCTCAAAAGCAAGAGAAATACAATGATCAGGGAGGTATAAAAATAAATTTTCCAGGCTAGCTAGTACTAAGCGATCAATCTAAAAGTTTCTCTCAATTTGTCACTATCACCAAGTAATACCATTACTTGTGAACTGTAAATAAGGAGAATGTAGCGAAGATTTTCAAAGATATTAAATACATTTCCACTAAGGATTCAAAACTACCCAACACTTGCATCACAACCCTGACTCACGGTCCATTAAATTAACAATTTTGGAAATAACAAAATTTAATACCTATAGGAACAGAAAAAAGGATTTTTAAATAAGTAAATTTATAAATGCATTATCACTACATTTATTCAACAGACACTTTTAGTAACACCACAACTCTAGGCCAGGGGATTTTGATAACAAAAAGAAGAAGAAGTATCAAATTTATCATATCCATTATGCACTTTGGGAATCTAATAAAAGTCCTGTCCTACATGTGACACCGGATTTTTTTAAAGCTTGGGCCATGAAATTCACAATACTGGAATTTGCGCATTTGCTTATTATTGCTTAGTTCTTCATTAACCTAATAAAAATTTGTGGTATCCAAGAACATAGAAGACAATTTTTTCTAGAAATTATGTTATTTGCATTATATTTGCATCCCATTCAATAACGTGATGGGAACATTTCCCTATAGCCACAAATTTCAAACTTTAATTTGAAAGAGGCAAATTTTGTATGCCAGAATTGTCTGAAATTGATTCAGTGAAGAGAAGATGAAAATGTTTTATTATACCAGTATGTTAACATATGATGACCGAAGAAAACAGATAGCAATAGGTCACTTGAGTGACTCAGGATCTAAAACTTGTAAAAAAAATCATCTGTGTTATATTCTGTCATTTATATTGTTAAAATTATAAGCTGTCTGGGCAATATTCTAATGTAAATACAGCTTTGTTTTCCATAACTGTATAAATCATTGAAAATCAAAATAAAATTTTAAAATCAACAAAAAATTGCATTCTTCCCGTTTATATTCTAATTAATTAAAGAATTTTCATTATATAGATGAAAACAACAATAACAATGAATAATACACATTGTATAATTATAAGATTTAAAGAATTTACCTAACTGAGCGTTAGCCACCCTGGGATAACCTTGTAGAACTATTGCCTGGTTGTGCGGCGTTCGTTTCTGCCTCATTTTACAGGCAACAAAAATAATTATAGACACTACTAGTCCAATCCCTACCACAGTTCCATATGCAATCCCAAATCTATCAGCTGTTGATCTACAGTAACAAAATACGAAATATATTTTTTATAAGGACACATGAAGAAAATAATTTTTCTTAAACTAGAGCCGAGCTCGTTGCAAAGCAACGAGTAGGTCTTCCGTCGGAGCTGCGGACAGGGAGAAATGACCTTGGGTCAAGGTCATTCCACGTTCTAATGTTAAAGCAATCTTTTAAGGGTAGATGTCATCTTATTTATGTTTTACTATTAAAAGAGATAGTAAAGGAATGTTTGCGACCTTGACCTTGTTAAAATGACCTTACGTCACACCATGACACACGCTGGTGATAAGCAATGCCATTTGTGTGCTACCGTATTGACGAATTCTTAAGCTATACTTTTTTTCGATAGGCCTTGTCACAGCTAATACGTGTATACATGTGTAAATCTAGGTATGAAAGCGTTATCCTTTCTTTATCAAAAGTCATGGTCAATTTTAAGCAATGTTTAAAGCCGGTTAAACTTCAAGGTCAAAGTTCATTATATGCTAGTATTTGAAATGATTTTATCACAGGTTACATACATTTGATTTTTGTGTAATACGAAAACCCATTCTCTTCTCATTCAAAAGTTATAATCAAGATTAAAATTGTGAAAAGTAGGTCAAGCCTCAAGGTCACGTTGTCAAAATCAGCGTATCGGTATTTTAAAAAATGTTGTTACAGGTAATACACAGTGGTAAAATAAAAGCCCTAATCGATCTCTTTTCTCTCAAAAGGTATGACTATGGTTAATATTTTTGAAAAGTGGGTCAAACTTCAAGGTCAAAGGGTCAAAAATCATAATGAATTTTCAAAGGCGTTGACACAGGTATTACATGTACATGTTTATAAAATGAAAGCTTTCAATAGTTATGGTCAATTTAAAGCAATGTTATTTTTTAAGTAGGTCAAGATCGAGGTCACGGAGTTAAAAATCACAGTATATTTGAAAATCAGATGTCACAAATAATGCACATGTGAAATATGAAAGTCCTATTTCAACTCATTCAATAGTTATTATCAAGTTTAAAGTTCTCGTGACAGATGGACACTGTCAGACTGGTTGACAAATAAGGTTTAATGTGCCCTAATAAAAATAAATACACGTTATTTGAACATGATAAATTAAGAAATACGAAGAATGAAAAACTAGAAAATATTAGAAAAAAATTGCACTGCAGCTATATTCAATATCCGTGTTTTTCAACTGCTTGAATCTAAAAATATTATTTACCATGTGTCTCTAACACATTCCTTAAACTTTTCTACAGTTAAACATTCCTTACAAGCGTTTTTAATAGTCCTTCTGAGCCTGAACTTGAGATAATATGGATGGCACTGTAGCTCTCTGGTGATCCATCTCAATTTTTTTAGAACAGCTAGCGAGCTACAGATCTGCAGCATGACAATTGTCATAAAGTTAATTTTACAAATTCATTTGAAATGTAACAGAATTGAATTTTATGAAAAGAATTATTTCTAATGCTTATTTTTAACATATGCTAAAATTATTTACCTATCAAGTTAAGTTAAGACAGTAAAAAGGAATTTGATACTCAGTATTTATCTAAGGAATTAGTGTCAATCCTCTACCTCACAGCGTTCGACTTGTATGATAATTACGTATGTGTAATGAAACTGCCGTGAACTATCCCGGACGTGAACATTAGATGTACTGGACATTCCGTCATCAAGAAAATATAGTTTTACTCTGGACTATTCCGAGTTACCAAAACGTTTGTATGTATGTCCATGTGTGAGCGTTTCAACCTGTCTTTGTTTTATGTGACTTGACTTGATTTATTTTTCAAAATACAAACTTTAACGTTTTATTGCTTGACTTTCGTTTTAAAAACTTGTGTTACTGTCACCAATTATATTCTATTAACTTTGTTTAATTGTCGGAAATGCAATGCAAAATTCAGGAAATCAAATGCAGCGAAAACTGGTACCCCCCCCCCCCCAAAAAAAAAAAAAAAACACAAAACAAAAAACTAGTACATGTAGTACATGTACACACTTCGATGCTCGATTGTACACTCTAGAAATTAAAAAAGTTTATGAATAAAAAAGTTTAGTGAGGCATACTCATCTCTGCCGACCTTTTCTTAAATTTATTTGACAACCTGCGAATTAAAAACAATATCGCGTATGATTTTTGGTTAATATTAAAAAGTTATGGAGTAATCATGGATTTCAAGCATTGTATCATTTCAGGGGGTTACGTATCGCAATGAGAGGAAATTTAATAATTTAATCTCTTTTAGTCCAATAAACACGAAAGAAAGGCTTGGAATATTTGTATGAAATTACAGGAAGAAATTTTGCATTTGTTAGAAGAATTTCTAATTATACTTTTTTTTTTCTCGTATTCTTAAATCTCATGTTGGGTGCTCTTCTGTGTAAAACAGCATGTAGTTTAGTTAATATCATGTACATGCACATAAAATCGTTTCATTGTGATATTCTAGCTTTTTATTTGAGGAAATAAAAGAAATTTATGAGCATATCATTCGGAAAAATACAATGATAAGTTATGTAGCAAATTATGCAAAACTCAAAGTTACTTAATTTTATTTTCGATTTTCATGAGAACTGAAAACGTCACTTCCACTTACAATTTACTGTGTGCATTTGTCATGTTTATTTGTAATTGCTAATTTAAACAACATCGCAATTTTTCCTGAAATAAATTAAGCAACAATTAGAATAACTTGATATAGGCCCGTATACATATAACGATTGCAATTACTTCAAAGTTGAGAGGGAGACGACGGCGCCTAAAAAATGTGTACCTTTCCAATAATATAGAATCATCCGTTCAAATTAAAAACAATTAAGTTGCAGTAGTGATATCCCCGATTCTTTAAATAACGAAACTATAATGGACTTCACAAGGGTAGAATTCAAACATTAATTTATGTACATGTGCAATTACAATCACTATCAAAATTGGCAGAGTTATCGATAGGTCATCCTGCGTCACCTTTCAGTGTAACCGATGGACTCGTCCAGAGAAATCATCTATACCTGAGCAAAATCGCAGCGCCTCTTATTCATTCTTCAAAGAATAGAATCAGACATTTTATCTTTAAATACTCGTACATGTTCAAGAAAACCTTTATATTTGTGTCTAGAAATATTCTTACGATTTACGCAAATAACAAATTCTTGATTTTAAACTGAGTAAATCGATGACTAGCATCGTTTTAAGGCCGGTTTACACTATGCATCTTGACACATGCATCTAAACTCATGCTTCAATTTTGCCTCATGCATCTTCTTATTTACACTATGTGTCTTGATGCATGCATCTTTAGAATACTTTGTAAAGATGAAATTTCTCTACTTAGAAAAATAACAATACCTTCAAATTTCATTTCCAGATTTTTTTTTAGCTGAACAAATTATTCTTAATTTCCTTTTTATGATAATTCTTAGAAGAAATAATTCATATTTATTCCAAAACAAAAACTCTTTTATATCATAATAATCATATAAGTTTTTCTAATTGTAGTTTTAATCAGTATTTTCTGTTTTTGTGTATCTTGGGAAGCTATTTTTGAAACTAAATGAAAAAAAATAAGGCTTATGATTCAATATCAACTCTGACCTTTATTTTCATTGGTCAGTTCCATGCATCTTGAAGCACGGAATAGAACAAGTTCTATTCCATCGTTCAAGATGCAACACCCATTTAATTTGACACAAGGGGCATTTACACTGTGAATCTTGACACATGCATCCAAGATGCATGTGTCAAGATGCATAGTGTAAACCGGCCTTTAGATAACTCTGGGATTCGCGTAAAAATCAAAGAGCGGTAATGTTGACCTCCGGAATGTATATAGGTCAATGCATGCGCGATCGATAAACAGGTTGCACAACTGTAAACAAAGCAGTCAAGGTCCGACGAAAATTCACGATGCATGAATAAAATGACAGTGAATTATTTTAAGCTTGATTTTTTTTTAATAAATAATGCAACATTGAGTATCAATCGAATGAGAGATGATAAGTATTTTTCCTATCTCCCGTCTTGTAATTCAAACTAAATACAAGGAGAAAGTTGTCTCTGAATAATCTGTATGACATCCAGCTAGAGAATACGTTAAAAACTTTATTTCAACAAAGTTTAACATTCAGTTTAGTTAAGTATATTATTCTTATCCAGTTTATTTCAGTTATACGTGTTATACGCGTACGCATAAAGAATTCTTCACTTGCCGTATAAAATTAATCAGTTACCTGTACATAAAGTTTGCTGCTCATTCAATAACACAAGATTCGAACAAAATAACGTTTTCATGAGATCAATAAGATGTTAAAGACCCATTTCAAATCGATAACCATATCGAAATATTTACCGTTTTTGAGTTATAATGCAAAAACTTTCATGCTCCCTTGACCCCTAATTTGAGGGGCCAGCCCCTTTTTAATGATGTCAAATGATAGATCTTAAAATTATGCACAATATTTGTGAAATATATCTTAACAAATTATTTTTAGTTTAAAAGATACACAAGGAAATATATGTAAAATTTGGCGCTTTTAGGCATTCTCATTTTTGACCCCTATCTAGCACCGTTTGGAGCGCAGAAATCGAAAAAGAAAAACCGATGTGCACAACTTCAATTCTTCTAGTATTTAAATGCAGTAGACATTCTGCTCCAGCTTTTGTCGTTTCTGAGCCTTTGTCTGAAAACGAACAGTACCAAATTTTCACTTAAAGGGAAATAACTCGAAAGCGGAAGGGAATTTTTGAAATGTATGAAAACATTTTAATTGAGTTTTGTAACGTCCAAAAACTCTGAAAATTTGAGCGAAATCCGTTCAGAAATGAGCGAGTTACGAGGTCTCAAAGATGGCGTCTAGGAAAAAAAAAAAAAAAAGAATAATAGGGAATAATCTTAACCATCAGAATCAGTAGAAGGTCTTCCGCCTGAGCGGAAGACCTTAATAAAATGTTTTGATTTGGGATGTGATCTGGCTTCCACAATACATGAGGGTTTAGTCTTTCTTATTACGCCTTTACAGTTTCTTTTAATTTAATTCCACCAAACACAAATCTGATGTCAATGATTTAAAATAACCTGAAATCAATAACTTTTACATATGCCAGCTCAATTTTATCTAAATACATGTGTACATGTAAATGAAATGTTTATACTTTAATGTCTGTAGACTTGTAACTACATTGTAGCTATAGGGACAAGCTTTCAAACATTACCGCCGAGCATACACTATGAACTCAATATTTACGTGTAATGTGTTGTGGGGTGGGGTGAAAAAAGTTGGTATTACAAAATTATTACAAAATATTGAGGGGCGAAGTTTTAATGAAAATAAATGAAAATGAACGACAAAAGAAGACCAGTCCCTCCCGAAACTACGTGACGTGCAATTAACACCACGATCGATAGCAGATATATATCAATTCCTGAAATGTTTATTTGCTGATAATAGCTACAAAGGTATGATGAGTCGCCGTACGAGGAAAACTTACAAATAATAGCTGTATACTAATGTAAGATGAGTCGCCGTAGGAGGAATACTAACAGATAATAGCTGTATACTAACGTAAGATGAGTCGCCGTAGGAGGAATACTAACAGATAATAGCTGTATACTAACGAAAGATGAGTCGCCGTAGGAGGAATACTAACAGATAATAGCTGTATACTAACGTAAGGTGAGTCGCCGTACGAGGAATACTAACAGATAATAGCTGTATACTAACGAAAGATTAGTCGCCGTACGAGGAATACTTACAGATAATATCTACAAATGTATGATGAGTAGCCATTCGAGTAATAACTGTAACAATAGGTCCTTGCTTCACAGACAAGCGGCAGACAACAAAGTGCTGCAAAAAAGTAGATTTTAGGATTCAAATGACAGTCTGCTCTAAATTTCACAAAAATTTAAAATGTACTAACATTGATATTCATCAAGAGCTATAAAATAACATTTAAATGAAAATAGTATGAGGTATGCAGCGCTGCTTTTTTTGGTTGGTTTCTTATTTCTTTAGGTTTTTTTTTTAGAAATTGTTTTTACGTCTCATCGTGATAAGAAGAAATTTTAACAAAGATTTGTTTAGAGCAATTTGATTTATTATCTTTGCATAAAATTTAAAATATGATATGTACATGAAAATTTAAGTCAGAAAGTTAGAAAACATAATGAAAGCTGTTCTCTTAATCAGAATATTGTGCTTGCAAAAAAAATCCTATGGTGGCATATTTCTGTCCCCTTCATGCAAGATAGATTATGTTAACATGCATGAAAATTATGTCAACATGCAAGATAATTATAATGATATGCTAGTTACCATTCTTGTATGAGAATCTGATTTTAAAATGGTTAAAATCACGAATGTAAGCCCGTATCTGACATCGTAGTTGCAAGTTGCGGTCTACTTATGTTAACATGCGAGATAATTATGTAGACATGCAACTTATTTATGTGAACATGCAAGTAAATTATGTTAACATGCAGGACACTAATGTTAACATGCGAAATAATTATGTAGACATGCAAGAATATTTATTTTCACGTGCAAGATAATTATGTTAACATGATACTTATTTATGTCAACATGCGACTTAATTATGTAAACATGCGAGTTATACTAAGTCTTTTACATACAAGATACAGTGTATTTATATCAACATGCAAGAAAATAAGTTGCATATCAACTTTCAAATCTTGCATGTTAACATAATTATCTTGCATGTTAACATAAATAAGTCCCATGTTGACATAATTATCTTGCATGCTGACATAAGTCGCATGTCTACATAATTATGTTGCATTTTGTCAATATAATTAACTTGCATGTTGACATAAATATGTTACATGTCTACATAATTATATTGCATGTTAACATAATTTATCTTGCATGTAGGGGGCAGGAATATGCCACCATAGAATACATCCATTAGCATGAGTTAACTTACAAATATCTTATTCAATGCAAAAAAAAATTAACTCTAATAAAATTACTACATTTGGTACTTGTAACATTAATGAAAGCATTTTAAATCGCAGTTAAAAAGATAATGTGCGAATTTTTTCATTGAATATCAATATTTTTGTGAAATAATCCTAAAACAATTTGAAAAGTATTGGCTGGAATAAGAAGTTAAGAGCCATTCTCTGTAATGATTTGAAAATTTATATATATGAGCTGTGGCACGCATAGTCTCAGAATTTCTCCAAACTCTCTATGATAAAAGTCATTGTTACCCTAAACTGAAATCAGGCAAAAATTGGTTGGTATGTTTTATAGTTACCATGGCAACATGTCCTAAAGTTCGAAAAATGGCATTTTAAAACATGTTTAGAGCCCCATAGTTAACATTTGCGGCAAAGCAAACAATTGGCAATGACTGCTTCCAAAAGTTGAAGGCCAGATGTTCCAAATGCATGATAAACATGTTTGGTAAATCAAGTATTACATACGTTACTATGGTAACAAAGTATTCAGAAGTAAAAAAAATATTCATTGAATTTTATAAAGTCATACACGTAAAATAAAATGCAATTATAGGATGTAATATGAGCAAATAATAGAAAAAAAGAGCCTTGAAACATATACCAAGAACAAAATATGATATTTCATTTTGGTTGGCAATGGTTGCCAAGGTTTTTATACCACAGAGAGCCTTCAAAGTAACACTCTGTGTGTTTAAATCTGATCTTATCTTTTGAAAAACACATTTCCTCATAACTAATGATCAATTTTAAAAGATGTTGGTGTGCTCCAAGCTTTCCCATTTGAAAAAATTCAGATTAGATTCTTGAAATAGAGCGTTGCTATGGAAATAAGCAGAAAATATATGCTTTAAAACCTGAAAAATATTTTCTTTCCTTGGATACGTACCCTTAAATGTAGATTCCCAACACTTTTATGATTGATATTTATTAACAGCTAATTTGACTTTTAATTTTGACTATCAGCCAATCTCTAAGTGGATGCAAGAAGTTGGCACACAGGGTTTAATATTGATATAAAGTTCACAAAATCGAACATTTTCCCTTCTTGGTAACCATAGCAACAGTGTTGTTTTCTTTATCAAATTTTATCAATATATGATATTCAACTTCAGTTCTAACAGATAAGTACTATTCAAGCTGAGTCCTTTAATTTGTTTCTTGATTAAATGGCAATTTAATTCTTAATGCAGCAAAAAATAATTCACTTTAAAGCACTGGTACTTTGTTTCCATAGTAACACTGCAAAGTAGCAATTATACCAAACTTTTCTTATGGTTTTGGTGATGGAAGGTCCTAAGGATGGGTATTTGCCAGTCTAGAATTTTCATGTTTTTCCTCAAGACAGTAGCATTAACCCAATCTTTGTTACTCGTTTTGCATAGTTACACTATGTTACCATGGCAACCATTAAAGTTATTTATAGAATAGTATTGCTTATACTTATATACTTAAGGTCAAACATTTTCATTGTTTTCCTTAAGTCGTTGATTGAGTTTGAGCATGTAACACCTACCTTTGGTGAATACGGAGTGTTTTTCAGCATATTTCAGCATTTTAAATGCATTCCAAATGTACCCTTGGTTACCACTTACTTAGAGATATATTCTAAACAGTTTCTTTACAGTATAAGTGACATCAAGGTGTCATGTTTTTCTGAGAGTGGTTTGTTTGCTTTTTCTTGTTTTTATTAAGCCACAGTCAAGATTTAAAGGGGCTGAAAATCTCGATTTTTCAAACTTTTCCGGCTGTTGCCATAGCAACCGAGACACTTAGCAGCGATATTTTGTTTGATATTTGTTTCTGGTGTCAAGTACTAAGCATGAGTAAAGTTTCATCAAAATCGGTGACCATGCGTGGCAACGAAGTTCAAGTGGTTACAGAGAATGGCTTTTAATGTGTCCATCGTATCAGGTGTGATCGAATTGACAATTAACTCAAAGGTCTCAATTGTTAAACTTTGTATTGTATAGTTATGTAAATTATGAGTAATGTAAGGATTTTTCGTTAAACCGAAAGTTATTTCTCTTATCAAAGGGTTAGGTTGGTCCCCATGTTAGTGCATATAAAATCTTCCATATTTATGTGTAAAATGGTAGATGTAAACATATACCAAAATGTGATGTATCAAAAATCAAAGCGACTTAGCACGTCGTATTATGTAGAAATCATTTTTTTTTATTATATGTTAATGTACCAGGGTGGGTATAATTTAAAAAAAAAAAAAAAAGTTATGAAACTTAGCTACACTGTAACCAAAGAAGGATGTGAATTAAAACATTTCTATTGTTCTCAAACGGCGATGACGCATATACATGTATAGAAAATTATTGAACTCAATGAAATAATAAAATACCGTGAAGGTCGATATCTTCAAATGTTAAATAATAAACTTGATAAAAAAAAAATTTAATAAGACCTACCTAGATAAAATGTCGTCAACATTTTCCGTCATTGATTTGTTACACCTGGATGAGTTCTAATTTTAGATTATCAGGTAATTTAAACTGCAAAGGGAACCTATACGTAAGAATTTATGTATGCACATAAGATTTCGGTGAATGTAAACAACATGTGCATAGACCAACTTCAAATTTCACATGTATGTTTACATTCTAAATGTAGTTAAATGTATAAAAAAAATACAATACCTGAGTGTTTTAAGTTACATGATCATGTTTAAATGTTTATGATGAGTAGTAATTTTAGGCTCAAAGGTAAAGAAGTGATTTATCATTAAATTCTCAGTGTCACAGGCATCCAGATGCATTGCACAGACTATTCAAGCTGTGTTAGGGTAATTAAGTGTAGAGCAATGTCTAGTGTGGTCAAGAATAATGAGCTTTTAATAAGTGGAGCAATAGGAGCTATGGTTCGTAGAATCGGGAGCCGTGTATTGAGTTAAGGTCAAGTTAGAGTATGTCAGTTTGATGAGAATTTGATAAAGATATAATATGTAGAGTTGGAATTAATTAATTAATAGGACGGTTCTAATGTTTTAGTTAATCATCTATTAGAGCTAAGATTCGTATAAAATATTAAGTGTGACGTATTTTAAAAGTAGGGAGTGCTTTACTAGGATTTAGACAGTACATATTCTAGCATAAATGTGACATCTTTCGTCTGTACTGTGCCTCCTCAATGTATATATGTCAATAAATTAGTGCATTGTTTACTGACTAATCATTGGACTGAGAATTACAAAAGTTACCAGGATTTATGAAGCAATGATATAGTGGAACCAAAAAGTTATAATTGCTCGGTCACTTCCGTTGCATATTTTTGGTGTCAGAATAGGATTCCAGCATTTCCTTGAATTTAAGTATAATTATTTGAACCAGTGTGTTTTGTGTGTGTGTTTTAAAAATAATTTAAATTGGGTTAATTTGTGAAGCCGAGTGAATTCTTTTAAAAATGGGGAGAAAAGAAGGCATAGAAGTGTACATGTATCTCCGATTCCGTCACATAGGATGTTCACAAGTCAGCGAGAAGCTAACGATAATAGTAGAGAGTCAAAATCTCATGTTACGCCATCCAAATTCTATGGAAATCATGTTTTCGAGAGTTGGATCAAAACATATTTGAAAGAAGTCGTGCTAACAAATGGAGACCTGAGAGGGAGATTGAAATGCTACCGGCATATTTGAGAGGCCGTGCAGCTGATTTGTATGAAGATTTAGATCAAGAGGTTGAAGAGGATTTTGATAAGTTACTTGATCGTATGAAGGAGGGATTTTGTCCAAAAGAGTTGTAAAAAATGTATTTCATAGAGTTATGTCAAAGAAAACAGCTAGCTTAAGAAAATGTTGAAGATTATGGAAGTTGGCTAGACGTGCACACGGAGGAGTTTCTCCAGATGAACATGACAGGCTTATCATGGATCGAGCATTTCTTGCAAGGTTTGCGTCCTGAGTTACCACGATATGTTATGATGGCAGATCCTCAGAGTTTTGAACAGGACTTTAGAATCGCAAAAAGAGAAGAATACAATGAGCAATTAATAACTAGTAGTCAACCAGAGCCTGCTAAAGTTAACGTAGTAGCAAATGAAATGAAGTTATTTTGGACTCTTTTGAAAAGATGACAGGGAAGTTGGATATAATTGCAGGAAAGCTAGATGGTCTAAATCTCACATCAATGAAACGTTTGGCACCTACTCGCCATGTCCCACCTCAAGGCAGTTATGAGTCAAGAAATCGTCAGATGGGACGTTATATTTATGGACAGACACAACTGAGAATGTCATTCGAATGGACATTATGATCATCAGTGCCCTGTGACGACATGTGGTAAAGTCTAGAAAACAATCTTTAACACAGCACATGAAAAAGTACCAAAGTTCTTATGATGAACCTGAGCCAGTGTTTGTGACCATCACTAACGGTATGTACTCTGACATTTCTGGTGAAGAAGAAGAGAACTTTGGAGAAATTTTCACTAATTATTATTCTCCTGTGAGCAGCTTGTCATTAACATCACTAGAGGAAACGATGGAAACCCTTAAAAGTCCAGAAGAAGGAGAGCCCCAAGACCATGAAGTTTTTTTTTTATTTATACAAAATTTTATTCACATAAGTGAATGGGATTGGGCAGCAGGCAAAGCCTATTTTAGCCCTCTCCCTACAAGGTCAAAATGAACACACAATATATAGATATGAAAATAAATAGACAAACATAGTAACAAAAAAACAAAAGAAAAAAAAAGTAGAAAGAGAGAAAAAAAAAAGAAAAAAAATTTTCAATGAAATACATGTACCGGTTAGAAAGCGTTGGCATAAGTAACATACATGACAGTTTCAAATAAAACGTTTGGTTGCTGCGATGAAAGCATGTACTGCTTCAAATATTTGAGTATTAATACATAGTGCATGATTGGGACTACCATACAAAAGTAAATCAAGTTCATGAGTTTGATTACAATCAATAATATTTTGAATTGTTTGGAAAAGTACATTTCTTGGAGAGTTATATTTTAGACAAGCAAAAAAATAATGATGAGCATCTTCAAGAGAGTCAATACAGTATTCACACATTGGTGTTTCTGATAAAAATTGGTTATATAAGTCTGCCTTTAAATTACTTGCATTATTTCGCAATTGACAATGTATTATATTGTACTTTCTTATTCCAAAATGATAAATTTCTTTACCCTTTTTACAAAAATAAGAATTTAAAAGACCTTTAAATGAAGATATTCCAGGAGCATTTCTGATATAATCAGGCAAGTCATTCCATAGTTTAATAGTTGATGGGAAGAAACTTTCCATATATGATGTAGTTCTAATAGAAGGAATTTTGAATTCTGCATCATTATTTCTAAGATTATAGGGGTGGTTTGTAGGACGAAAAGGTTCAATCAAGTCCTTTAAATATTTAGGTGAATAGCCATTTATGATTTTATATAATAGTAGCAATTTATGAATATTCCTCCTAGTTTGTAAAAGATCCCACCCTAATTCATCATACAATTTTGATCTAGAGGAATTTGATCTTAAGCCAGTAATGATTCTACCTGCTTCAACTTGGATATCTTCTAAAAGTTTTGCATCTTTTTCAGAATAATTGTCCCAAACAACATCAGAATATTCTAAAACAGGTCTAATAAATGCAAAATATATCTTAATAAGTATTTTCCTTTTCACCTTATACTTAAGCATTCTGAGGATATTTAGTCGTTTTGTAGCTTTTTCATGAATTAATTGTATATGCGATGTCCAGGTAGCATCACTTTGAAAATGTAATCCGAGGTGGGTATGAGATGCATTTTGAATAATGGATGGGCCATGATGACCAAATGTAATAGGCGGATATTTCATATTTTTGCGGGTGAAATCAACATTTACAGTTTTGTTTGGATTAAAATCAACAAGCCATTTTTTTGACCATTTATCAATTAGATCTAGATCACTAGTAAGCGACTGTGCTACATTTGTGGCTTCTTTTTCTACAATAGCATATAAAGAGGTGTCATCAGCAAAAAGGCGTATATTGTTTGCTAAATCATCACAAATATCATTTATGTATAGGAGAAAGAGAAAAGGTCCCAAAACAGAACCCTGGGGAACACCAGCGTTTACTGTCTCATGGTTTGATGAAAAGCCATCAATTACAACTTTTTGTTGTCTATCACACAAATAATTCTCAATCCAGCCTAATATGTTGCCATTAATACCATAATTTTTTAGTTTAGATAAGAGACCTTTATGCCAAACTTTATCAAATGCTTTCGAGATATCACAAAAAATAAATCTAACATCTTTACCTTTGTCAAGACTTGAAATTATAGTGTTGTATATTTCTGCTAGTTGGTTCACAGTTGAGTCTCCAGGTTGAAACCCTGACTGATATTTGTAAATTACATTATTATCTTTCATAAAATTATGCAATTATTTAAACAAAATTTTTTCCATTATTTTACATAAGACACTTGTAAGGGATATTGGTCTATAATTTGATACTTCTTGAACACTACCTTTATTTTTAAAAACGGGTGTAATCTGTGTTAGTTTCCAAATATCTGGCAACTTTTTTTCAATTAGTGATCTATTAAAGAGTTTTGTTAGAGGGGTTTTAATTGTGCTAGCTATTTCTTTCAAAATTCTTGGGGAAATACCATCAGGACCAGGTGGTTTACTGCTGTCAATGATACATAATTGATCGTAAACTTCATTTTCAGTGATAAATATTTCAGATAAAGTGTCAGTATTTTGTAATGGTGGACCAGGACCATGAAGGGGAATGTCTGGTTCATCTGTAATAGATGAAACTTGTGCAAAGTATTTATTAAGGACTGTAGCCTTCTCAACTGGATGGAAGATAAGTTTACCTTTCGATTTAAGTGGTGGTATTGGTTCATAATTTTTATTTAGTTTTGATATTGATTTGACAATTCTCCACCATTTACCAGGGGGGATTGATTTATCAATCATTGAGGATATTTTTTTGTTATATTTTTCACGGGATTTTCGAATTTCATCAATAACAGTATTTCTGAAGTTAATACCAACTATGAAGAAAAAGATGTTTCTGATCCTAAAAACCATGAAAGTCCAGATGACTTTGAGCGGGGTGAAGAAGCAGAAGGGACCAATGACGACTTCACCCCCACAAAGAAAGTGGAATTAATGTGCATAAACTTAACGTTAAACAGATATCAACATACGTATGCAGATGGAAATCAATCTATTGAGAGAGATACTGAAATTACATGTAGTTACAGTGAATTCGAAGGATTAATACCAGAAGAAATTGACTTTTCCGAAAATGCAACAAATATTATAAATGCAGTGCAAGAACATTTGAACAAATTGAGAAATCGTTTCGTGTCTGCTGAAATCTTGTAAACTCACTCTTACTTTGTGTTGATGTGCCTTTGGCCTATATAAATTATTTGCTTTGGATTAATGTTTTCTATGAACAATTTAACTTATAATGTGTAATATTATGGACAGCTAAACAACACTTTTATAGACAGTTAAATAACTTTTTAAAAATTGTATGTGATGTCACACTGTGTTGATA